AGAGAGAGAGAGAGAGAGAGAGAGAGAGAGAGAGAGAGAGAGAGAGAGATGGATAGGCAAAATTCACATAATCAATTTCCCAATTAAGGCCATGTAGTTGCTGTGGTTCTAGCTTTGTATTGGTGGTGCGGTGCGCTGTGTGTGCGCCTCGCACTCTCTTTCTCTTTCTCTTTCTCCTGCCCATTTCACTCTATATCCCTTTCGGTATGACTGCATTCCGATTAAAATCGCTGCCGTCGCATAGGATCCGATGCAAGCCATGCATAGCAACCGATTGTATGACTTTATTATTGTATGTCGATCTAATTGTTTGCTTCGTTTGCTAGCTATAATTGGAAGGATTTCAAGTGAACGCCACCAGCCAAGCGCTGCAAATATACACACACTCACTCACTCACTCACTCACCAACTCATTCGTACACTTGCCCTTGCCTCGTCCGTTCGCTCGCTCATTTGCCCATACAAACACACACAAATTCATTCGTCGGTACAAAATACCAGCAGCACTATGTATCGGATGCATGCCATCAAATGTGCTGTTCGGTTGTGCACAAAAACAAATTACAAAAGAGTTACTAACTTATTTTGCGAGGGTCGAAAGAAGAGAGTATTATATTTATGTGCCCCGGTGTTTTGTTGTTATCATCGTTTGAATTCCGATGGAATGAGGGAAAAATATGTTGTACAGCACATTTTCGGTAGTTATTAGTGCAATTATGAATTGAATTCGAGCAATGCATTGGCCCCGAAACCATTGTTCTCACTCAAAATACACGTACCAGCAAATGAACATTGTGTGCTGAGCTTGATCCGAAAATTTAAATTATGAATAATATATTTGCAGATACAACGAAAATTCCCTTTGTATTATGGCTAACACCCTCTTCTCCACTTTGCTCTTCTTAACTCTTTCTCTCTTTTTGCTGTGTACGACAATCCCTGGAACATGTCTAATTAGGAACTTTAAACTTGCATTCTAATTGGATTCATTCATCATCACAAAATTCAATTTCCATCCATAGATTTCCACTCGTTTTACGGAATGGAATTTTCGTCACAAAACCATATTTAACTAATAATCTCGCCGCAATTAAAAATGAAACGGCTCAGCCATTTTCAAACCATTCATCATCGTTCGCTTTCGCGCATCTATCTCGCTCGCTCACTATCTTTCTCTCTCTTGCTCTCTCTCACGCAGCCACATGTCACACAGAGTCGCCCGGAAAATTGAGTGGGAAATTGGGCGCGAGAAAGCTAGGAGAGAGATATGTATAAAAATTGAGTTAATCGCAAGACACTTTCGCATGGAATTAATTAGTTTACTTTCAATTTATAAATGCCATGGTGAAAATGATTCAGCCGTCAGTTTTGCAACATCCCAAGTTTTGCCTTACAACGAGAGAGAGAGTAAAAAGAGAGCACCATTTTAACATGGGTACATTTCAACCCTTTCTTCTTCTTCTTCTTTTTCTTCATCGTCATCATTGGCGCTTCCGTTGTGATGCTTCGTCTCACTCACCCACCCTCACTCCACATCCTTTGCATACGTAATTTTATATGTATCAAGTATTTTTTTTTATTGCTGTCGCTTCTGCAGCGCATTAAATGTATTATTATTATTTAGAAGAAATAAAATAAAGCTCTGTGTTTGACAATGCCTAACGTAAATTTTTCCATGGGATATGTGCTGTGTACATTGGTTCGCATCTTCTCGTGATGCTGCGGCCGTCGTCGTCGTTGATGCCGCAGCAACAGAGCAACACAGAATGTGAGGAAGGGAGCGAGAGTCAGGTTCAATAATGCAGAGTAACACATCACAACGAAACAAACAACGAAAAGGCAGAAAAAGTCCAAAAAAAACAAGGGAAAACGAGACAGATGATGAAAATTTAATTAATATTTTAGGAATTTAATTAAAACTCCATATAGTAGATTCATTCACTCACACCACACGCTCACTCCTCCGCCCAATTCGCAGGAAACGACGGTGGCTGCGAGAAGTGAGCGCTCGCGCTCTTTCTCTCGTGCATATTCCGTTCCACGGCCGTACAGCCGAAGCAGCACAAAGAAAAAAATACTCTGTGTTATCAAATTGGTATATTAAACCATATATATATATTACCTACAACCAGTGTACCGCCCGCTCGCCGTACTCTCCGTCACTCGCTCTCGTTCATTTGCTGCTGACTGTCGCACTCGTGCAGTCGTGCTGCGTGCCAGTACCACACACACACACACACACACACCGCCGAACAAATTCTCTCGTTCTCTTGTACAATAAGCAGGATAAAACAAACGATTCGTTTGACTCAAATTAATATAATATAGCAATTTAATACGTCATACACATCACTTATTCCATAATATATAGCGCTTGGCGATGGCAAACAACGCGCATACATTGTATTATATTTTTCAAGAATGAATTATGTGTGCATATAGCATGTACATATATATACATTTACGCGTATAGAGAGGCAGTGATAGACGGCATTTGGGCAGGAGTTCGAGTGCGTGCACCGTCAATATACCGACACATACATAGCAGTAGTACCGTAGCACTTTCTCACTCTCAATTTCTCTTCATAACGACCGAGAGTTTGCTTTTTCCGTTACTCCCTGAGATAGTGAATGATGTTCATTTGCTGGAGATAAAGCATTAAAATCTATTTATAATTAGATGGAACCGAATTCGAGTGGTACGAGAGTGTGTTCGTTGTTTTTTTTTCTTGCTCAACGACCACCGCCACCATCACCACCACTGTTGCCTCTGCTGCTGCTACAGCTTGTGCTCCTGAGAAAATTGTTTGCTTTGCGCCCATTTTTTTTTTCTCTCTCTCTCTCGTAATTTATGAATAATTTCCTCTTGTCGGCTGTTAATGAGTGTGCCATTCATAATCAAATGGCTTAAGGTATATATGCATGCAGGAGGAGTAGGAGAGAAAGACCATCTAAAAAGTTGTTTACTTGAAATTTAAAATGAGTTTGTACAAGCTTTTCTCTCGTCCATTCGCCATCTCACTCCTCTCTTTAGCGGACTTGGTCAGAAATTACAATACATTAGAATATTTTTTTGCGTGCAATTATACGCCACTCTAAGAGCTCATCATACTTAATTTATTGCCCACACAATGCTCGCCCTCAATATATCTCGGAAAAATTTTTGACTTTCACAAAAACAACCAAATTATTAAAGATATAAATTGATAGCAGCGCATTTGATATGCTTGTGCTAAAAAAGTTAAATCTCTGCCGTTCAATTAGCCAACACACACAATTCATGGAAATCACAATGAATTTAAGTCTTCTTTTTTTTCGGAAGTAGCAAACGAGAGAAAAACGACGACGACGACCACGACGACCACGACGATTACGATTTAATCCCTTTAAAAATGATAAAATTAGGCAAAACAACCCACTTTGCAACTTCATTAAATTTTATTTTTATTTCCATTTTTTTATCGCATGTACTTTTTTTCCATCGTTCTTTTCTTTTTCCATCGTTAACACAGAATGTTTGCGCCGCCACCATGCTCTGCATGCAACCAAACAATATCACCGAATGAATTTGTCATGCGAACAACGTCACAATCAAGTAATCAACAGTCGCCGAATCAACCAAATCCAATCCAACATCATGTATTTCATTTAAAGTGTTTTACATGTTCAAATTGCACGGCTCAGCTAAGGCAGGGCGATCGGTAAGCATTTTAATATTTCGATTTTTACTTTACATTCCCATAAACTAGTATATGCGCGGTCAAGTTCTGCTGCAATTTAGCATTTTCAATTGGCATATACATCTCATGTTAAATTGAACTTCGATTTCGTGTCGCTCTTTTACCATATTTTTTAATTCATTTGCGCATGTTTTGTGATTCTTTTTCTCTTCTCTTTTCTCGTTTCTTTTCTCGTTTCTTTTTTCGAATTTTTCTGCAGTTACTACATGTTAAATGGTAAACTGGTCTGCGAACAGGATTGGCATAAGTTGGTGAAAGCGCCGGTCGCAAATAACAGCACACCACCCGTACGTAAAGGAAAGGTCGGCAGACCGAGGCGATCGAGAGACTGAGAAGTTGCACCGCGTTTGGGTCGACCGCCAAAGATACGCAAAGATGATATAGACCATCGA